GAACCCAGGAGTCCTGGCTCCCACCCCCACTGCGCCTGCTCTGACCCACCAGCCCCCACTCCCCTCCCAGAGCAGGGGACAGAACCCAGGAGTCGTGGCTCCCAGCCCCACCCCTGCTCTAACCCACTAGCCCCTACTACCCTCTGGGACTGGGGAGAGAATCGGTCCCCCCTCCATGCCCCTCACACCCTGAGCTGTGCAAAAGGCCCCCCCACCCCCACCCTGCAAAGCCGTGACACCCCGAGTCCCCCAGCCCTGGAGCCTTGGCACATAATCAATCCCCTGGGGCAGGGGCTGCAGGGCCGAAAGGGAGCTGGGGGTCACCCCACGCCACAGGAAGGGGGTCCAAGCCCGGATCCCCACCGGGGGCCCCTGTTTTGTGCACGGTTTAAAATACCAAGAAAGCTCGGGGGTTGAGGCCCCCCACGGAGTCCAAGCAGCTGCCCCATCCGGGGGCTCAGACAAGGATGCTGCCCCCCCGGCCCTCAGGGGGATGCCCCTTGTGAGCACCCAGGGACCCCTCCTGCTCCTCCTCGGAGCCTTCCTCGCCAGAGGGCGGGCCCCGCGCCTCGGCCATGCTGCCGAAGGAGGGGGTGCCGGCGGCGGAGGAGGGGCCCAGCAGCGGGGTCCGCTCCGAGTGGCGCTGCTCCTCCTCCTCCTCCTCCTCGCCCCGCGGGTGCCCCTCGCCCTCTGAGTCCGAGTCCTCGGCCGTCCGCAGCACGCGCTGCTTACACACCGGGCAGGTCTTCTTGGTCTGTGTCAGCCAGGGGTCCACGCACCGGCAGTGATAGGCTGGGGGCGGGGGAGAGCAGTTACACCCCGCCACCGGGAGTGGAACCCAGGCATCCGGGCAGCCCCCTGCCCCCCGCAACCACCAGCCCCCACTCCCCTCCCAAAGCCGGGGAGAGAACCCAGGAGTCCTAGCTCCGGGCCCCCCCTGCTCTAACCCACCACCCCCACTTCCCTCCCAGAGCCGGGGAGAGAACCCAGGAGTCCTCACCGTGGGCACAGGGCAGGATCCGCAGCCGGTCGCCCTCCTCGTACTCATCCAGACAGATGGCGCAGACGTCATACTCGTCCCCTGGCAGAGACATAGGAGGGGGGCGTTAGCCCTGACATATGGGGGAAACTGAGGCACACAGAAGGGGTGGGACCAGGGCAAGCTCATACAGTGAGAGGATAACAGCCCTGCATCCCAGCACCCGCCCTGCTCTAACCCACCAGCCCCCACTGCCCTCCCAGAGCCAAGGAGAGAACCCAGGAGTCCTAGAGACAGGCCTAGAACTGTGTTTATTCTGTTGGGACATAAGAACAATGAAATGCATGTGGCAACGTCTCCCTAGGGTCATGGGTTCACAGGAAGCTGTCAGGTCAAAATTCTCCTTTCCACCCACATCCCCGCCCCAGAGGTGGCTGCATCTCAGCGCCGGGTGAGGGGTCCCTGGGGAACCGGCTGCCCCACCCCAGAGGTGGCCACATCTCAGCACCGGGCGAGGGGTCCCTGGGGAACCAGCCGCCCTGCCCCAGTGGTGGCTGCATCTCAGCGCCGGGCGAGGGGTCCCCGGGTAACCAGCCGCCCCGCCCCAGAGGTGGCTGCATCTCAGCGCCGGGCGAGGGGTCCCTGGGGAACCAGCCGCCCCGCCCCAGAGGTGGCTGCGTTTGATGACACAGGGCCAGGGCTGGGACCCGAGGTTCAGGTCTTGCCTGCTCAGCTGCAGGGTTCGAACGTGTCAGCGAAAACAGGAAGCTCCGTCCCCCCCCAGCGCCCGCCCGGGAGGGAAGTGGTCAGAGGGGCTGCGGAGTGAACCCAGCCGCTCCGGCTCAAGCCCTTATAAGGTAAATGCGAGCGCTCCCCTGCCGCTTCCTCCCCGGCGCTTACTCAACCCGAGAGCACCCGCTCAGCGCCCCGCCAGGCGGTGAAACGGCTGCAACAGCTCCCTGGGAAGCCGGACGCCTGGGTTCTACTGGCAGCTCGAGGGGGAGGGGGAGACTGAGGGATAGAACCTGGGAGCCAGGACTCCTGGGTTCTCTCACCAGTTCTGGGAGGGAAGTGGGGGCTGGTGATGGGATGGGGCTGGGAGGACGGTGGTATTTTTTGCATCCCTTCCCCCTTCAAATGGCAGAAATAGACCACAGGAGTCCTGGCTCCCAGCCCCTGCTGCTCTGATTCCCCAGCCCCCTACTACCATCCCAGAGCTGGGGAGAGAACCCAGGAGTCCTGGCTCCCAGCCCCCCCCGCCCTAACCCCCCAGCCCCCCACTCCCCTCCCAGAGCCGGGGAGAGAACCCAGGAGTCCTGGCTCCCAGCTCCCCCTGCTCTGACCCCCCAGACCCCACACTGAGCCTGGAGGGGGGTGGGCAGCTGCAAACTGCTGGGAAGGGGTCAGGAAGGGGGTGGAAGTGTGGGCTGTGTGACCCAGCTCCCAGCATGCACTGCTCCAGCAGCCTTGTGTCTCCCTGCTGCTCCCCTGCCCTCCGTTCCCTGCAGGAGCGACCCCCCCCCCCCCCCGGCGGGGCAAGGCCGGGCGGGAGCCCCCAGCCCCCCAGCCCCCCCCGCCGCCCCCCCCCCCCCCCGCCCCCGGCGGGGCCGCCCCCCCCCCCCCCAGAGGCTGGGCAAGGGCTGGCAGGAAGCCAGAGACACAAGCACCAGCCAGAGTCCCCCCCGGCACAGGCCCCCGCAGCAGCTGGATCCGGGGGGCCCCCAGAGACTGCGTGGGGAGCTCAGACAGATCCATGGGGACTGGGGGAGGGGGTGGGCGGGCTGACCCCAGAGTGCCCCCCCCCCCCCCCCCGCGGCAGGCCGGTCAGCCTCCCCACCGGCTGCCGGCCTGGGCCTCCTGTCGAAACATTTCACAGGCGTGAGGTGACAACTCCTCGAGTCACTGCGGTTAGCACAGCCCCCCCTCCAGCGCTCGGACAGGGCTGAACCGCAGCAGGGGAGAGAACCCAGGAGTCCTGGCTCCCAGCCCCCCCCGCTCTAACCCACCAGCCCCCACTCCCCTCCCCGAGCCGGAGAGAGAACCCAGGAGTCCTGGCTCCCGGCCCCCCCTGCTCTAACCCACCAGCCCCCACTCCCCTCCCCGAGCCGGGGAGAGAACCCAGGAGTCCTGGCTCCCAGCCCCCCCTGCTCTAACCCACCAGCCCCCACTCCCCTCTCAGCGCTGGGGAGAGAACCCAGGCGTCCTGGCTCCCAGCGTGTAAGCCTGCGGTTTGAATGCAAGGAGCCCCAGCCCGGGTCTGACAGAGGGGAAAGGGGGTGACTCGGGGGTCCCCCAAAACACACAGTAGATGTGTGAGCCCAGGGGCTGCAAAGGGGGCTGGGAGCCAAGGGGAGGAGGCGCTCAGAGCCAGTCTCACACCCCGAGTCACAGCCGCTCGCTCCCCCGCCTGACACCTCCGCTTGGGGTTTGGTGACACGGGGCAGGTGGAGGCGTCGGGGTGCAACCGATCGCACCCTGCACCCGCTGAACCTGGAACTTTCCAGCGCCCCGTGCTGGGACTCAGACAGGCACCCCACATCTGAGGAGAAACCCACAGCCCCCCCTTCCCCTCCCCTGCACTCCCCGGGGCACCCTTAGATCCCTCCCGGCTGCCTCCGAGCTGGACGGATTGTTCCTTGAGCCCCCCTGCTCTAACCACCAGCCCCCTGGATCTTGCCGCCCAAGCGCCAGCTACGCACCACAAGTCCTTCCCTGGGCAGCAGGGCCCCGAAGAGGGCGGGCAGGTCTGAGAAGTCCATGCTGGAGTTGTGATCCGTCACCTGCGGGGTGGGGTGGGGGTGGAGGGGGGAAGAGGGATCAGGGTGGCACGAGGAAGGCTCCGGTTCCCCCCACCCCATCTGACCGCTCCCTGGGTCCCTGCCCCCAAAATCTCCCCCCTCCCCCCTGGGCCCAGCGCCAGGCCAGGCTGAGCCCTCAGCCACTCACCGCGTGGATGTAGGCGTCCGCGGGGGGGAGCAGCAGGCAGGCCCGGAGCAGGAGGGCGGCGACGGGGCTCGGGAAGGCGCGCTCGGGCCGCATCCTCACGGCCGGCGGAGCCCTGCAAGGGGGAGAGGGGGGAGCCTAGCGCGTGAGACCCCCCGTCAGAGACCGTCCCGGGGGGTAAACCGAGGCACGGTCAGTGCCAGAGCTGGGAGCAGACCCTGTCCCTCCAAAGTGCCAGAGGGGCAGGGTGGCTAGCACCCAGCCCGGCCCCGTCGGGAGTCTCGGAGCTGCCCCCCGCCTCGCATCCTCGGAGGGCGGCCGCACGGAGAGACGGCCCCGGGGCTCGTAGCCAGGACAAAGGGCCCATTCACCGGCCACGAGGCAGCGCCGCGGCAGGCGGACGGGAGACAGGCACCGGCAGTGAACCCCTGACAATGGCACCGAGGTAAGCAGAGGCCCAGATCCCAGCCAGGGTCCATTGGCCGTCGCCCCGTGGGGTCAAGGGGGCCGGATCCCGGCCGGGGTCGCTCCTCCTCTAACCCACTAGACCCGACTCCCCTCTGGGACAGAACCCAGGAGTCCTGGCTCCCACCCCTCCTGCTCTAACCCACCAGCCCCCACTCCCCTCCCAGAGCCGGGGAGAGAACCCAGGAGTCCTGGCTCCCAGCTCCCTCTTGATGAGATGGTACGACGCGGGGCTGGCGGGAGCTGCGGGAGCCCTGCCCGAACAGGTCTGGGCGTGGACCGGAGGCTGACGCTCTTGGTGTCCTGGCCCAGGCCGGGAGGCGCTTGGCTCAGCCTGGCGCAGGGGCCTGGCTGCCAGGGGCTCCCCGTGCCAGCGGCACCGAAGCACGGAGCGAAGTTCAGGGGTGGGAGCGAAGAGCTGGCACCAGGCGGGCTGGGAAGTGGGCAGGGCCAGGCCTGAGGGGGAATTCCCCGGGGGACATGAGTTCAGAGGGTCTCAGTCCAGTTCTAAGATTGGGGTCCCCCATGGGGCCGGGCACAGCAGACACATGGGGCTGTCCCTGCTCTGAAAGCTTACGGTCTAACTCAGCGAGTCGGACCACGGGTGGGGAGGGGAAACTGAGGCACGGAGGTGCCGGGACTTGCCTAGCAGGTCAGTGGCTGAGCTGGGAAGAGAATCCGGGCATCCTGAATCTCAGGCCGTGCCCGCTGGCCCACGCTGCCAGCCCGAGGGCTGGAGGGGTCACGCAAACTGAGCCCCCTTTTCCCTAAGCTAGGGCAGGGGTGTGAGGGGAGCTGTGTGTGTGGGGAGCCATGGGGTGGGGGAGCTCCCTGGGCTGCTGTCTCAGCACTGCTCACTTTAGGGGGAGAGGGGATGTGTACACAGCACTTGGGAGCATCACTAGCTCACCAACCCAGCGCGGAGACGCAGCCACCTCTGGGGCGGGGCGGCCGGTTACACGGGGACCCCTCGCCCGGCGCGGAGACGCAGCCACCTCTGGGGCAGGGCGGCCGGTTACACGGGGACCCCTTGCCCGGCCCTGAGATGCACCCTTGGCATTACCCCCTCTCCTGGCTGGGCTGGGTATGGTCCCCTCTGTCTGAGGCCCCAGTCCCCACAGGACTCTCTCCCCAAATGGGGGATCCCTTCTCTCTCCCCCCAAGACCCTGCAGCACCCCCTCACCAGATGGGGGATCCCTTCTCTCAGTCCCCCTCCCCAGCA